TTTCAAAAAACAATGTTAACAAAACTACTTACAAAAACATTAAACACAATTATTAAAGTTGTAGGAAGTTGAGTTTTTCATGTTTGGAACTCCATGGAAGTATTTCAAATGGAAGATATAGAAGCTATATTAGCAGCGGAATTCGTCGATTTCGAACGGGTTAAACATACGTTTGTACTCAAAGTATTTTCCTGCATAATTTTAACTGTAACGTTCTACAGTGTTTGATAGTTTATTCTTTGCGCTCTTCACCATCCATTCTTCGTATGTTAATTGCCCAATCATTCAAAGTGTGTGAAATTTCTTCATTTGTAGATTGTGCTGTCAATTCGTATTTTCTTCCTTCGCAAAATTCTTGTAATTGCTTTCAGTAACATTCTCTGTTTGTTTATTTTGTTTTTTTCTGTTATCGGCCCTGAATCTTTAATAGGTTCAATTTCAAAGATTGAAACATTACCAAAAACTATTATGAACATAAAGCACTGGCAATCTAAAACACCAAAAAGGTAAACAAAGAGATTACAGAGGATACAGAATTGATTATCATCTGACGATAGACTTCAGGGATTGGTTTAATTTGAATATCATCTTGCTTAGCAATTGTTACTTACACGGGCAGTCATTAGTGAAATAGTCCAAATAAGCATATTGTTTATCCAATTTTGTTGCCATAGAAATCGAGTTCTCCCTCATTTCCAGTTAGTAAGCGCACGAATATACGAAATGAATATTTTCCTTAATATTTACAACCTTACACAAAATGTTATGACACAATATTTAGAGAGCATTTCAACTAGCGAGGAGGTTTTCTTTTCTATATATTCCAATATTACTTTTTATTCATTACAAAAGTACTTCCTAAGAAGAGAAAATTATGTAATTGTGCGCTGGAAAACGGCATATTTTTGGCAGAAAATCTCTTATTTTTATATTGTTTGATTAAAAATACCTACATTTGTCCGTATTTTTTATATCTATTTTTCGGTCCGCAATATCTTGATTGAAACACAGCTTTTGAAATATCGTAGAAAATTGAACACTTTCCTAATATAGAGACTTCCGAAAATTGCACAAGTTTTTGAGAAAATTTAATTAGAACGTTTTCGAAAAATCGCCATTTGAGTTTATCTGTACTAAAAAACGAATGGATTTTCAAATCCAATCATTAAAGTATACTTTGAAGCTTGTGTGTAAACAACCGTATAAATAAATGCGTCTATAATGTAAACTTTAACGATGGAAGAGATATTTCGGACATATTACATTGTGTATTTTTTTTAAATCAAAAGAATACATCAAAAGAGCTGTTTAAATCATATTATCCGGTGCACTTTGTATTATCCATACAAAAAGTTTAAAGAAAACATTTGATTTTGAGAATTTTTTTCAATATTGCCCATATTTCACTACAAATTGCACGAAAACTACTAATAGTTTTAAAAAGGCACTGACTTTAATTAAAGAACTGAGAAGAACAAATTTCAATTGAAGTCAAGATCTTCCTTCAATAATGTAGTTGTAAGAGGTGGTTCAAAGAATGTAATCCTTTTTAATTTTTCAAAAATTCAGGGTTAATAGTGGAAATTGGTCCTAGGTCATCTTTTTGATAAGTGTACTTCAGTGTAAGTTACAAGAAATTTAAAAAAACAATTGGGAGGCTTTTTGAGATAATTTTCAAAATGTCCCAGGTGCGTCATGTAAATTACTTTCAAAATGTAAAGAATTATTTTCCAAATTGACGATCTTAAAATCGGGAAGTATTCATTTTGACAAAATCTCACAAATTGTTTAGGCGCTAGTGTTGTTGCAGACAGAGGGACGGGCCGGTTAAAAAACACTACTACTCTTTTGGATAGGGAATCACACAATAAGAATTCTGAATACACTATGAATTAGAGAATGGAATTTATTTCATACAGGAGCAAGAAAACCCCTCTCTTTCGAGAAACGATTTTTCTGTGAAAAACGGCTCTGTTTAGGGCAGCACTATCTACACTAAGAATACTCCTCAGGATTACGTACGTACACAAGAAAGTAATAATTGATCATTGTGATAATTGGTCTATATTAGCTGCAAATGTAACAAATATTCAGTTGGTATTTTATCACTGTATGTTAACTTGCACGTTATTTTAATCTTAATTATTCACACATTATTGAAGCTGTGAGAGGTTCTCTAAAGGGCACAAAAATAAACTTGTTCAATTGTTTCTCGTTAGTATGTCCCTTATAAAAATTCTTTGTAAAATATTAACTGAATAAATTTGAAAAGAAATAAATTCTAGGTAATAGAACACTTTGAAATGCAAAATTCAATTTTCAGCTTCAATGTAGATATCGTAAACTCAATGTTCGATTTACATTTAGTTGTTAAAATCCGAGTTATCAAAAAGACACATAAGTTCGAAAAATATGATTTCTCATTATAATAATGAAACCATTGACGTAGGAACTCTGAAGGCGGCCAGCACCCAATAAAGAAGATAATATTGGTAAATGCATGGCGTTGCAGAGCGAGTGCAGTTGTACTACTGAGTGTAGTAGCGCTACATTAAGCTTTATGCACGATAGCTGTTTGTTCTGTTGGTGGAAATGGAAAATGCTGATCCAGTTTGCAAACGACAAAAGGAGAGTATACTATTTGTTTGTAATTGTGTGTAAAATTATAAAAAGAGATCCCTCCTCTTGCCATGGAAAGCATTTGAATAGTTGTTTCTGCTCGGGAAACCGCGTGCACAAGTGAATATAATGTGTTTGGACTTAGTATAGTTCAAGTGAAAACTCTTAGAGATAGAAGAGCAACATCAATATAGTAATCCTCTGAACTACAACTGAAATAAATTCACTGGATGAGGACTAAGAAAAAACTAATTTGGAAAGAAATTTACTAATATTATGGAGATGTACAGGGTGTACCAATCTTGTTTGTACACTTCCTTTTTGTAACTAAAAAGTAAATATTTACACTATTTTATACGTTTTGTCTTATATTTAATTTTTGTTTTCTTCATACAACCCTAAGAAAACAAAATAACCAACAAACACTTCACTTGTTTTCAAATAAAAAAAACAAATAAATAATTCAACAAAAATCTGGCTATTACCGTACAACAGTCTTACGTGTACATTATCATAAAATTAAAGAATATATTAAAGAATTCGGAATAAAAAAATTAATACCCTGACGCATAGCCTTTAGCTTTGAGAACGGTTTGGCATCGTCTCTGCATTAAATGCTTCTCATATCATCATTTTTCCCCATTCTTCTGCCACAACACGTTTGAATTGTTCCAGTGACTAAGTTTTTTTTAATGTATCCTTTTGTTCAAACCAACCCATACATGTTGGATCGGGTTCAGATCAGGAGATTGATGGAGAGTTCGCAATTGCTTCGGCACATTCCATATAAGACACAAGAGATAAGTAGTGAGAATGTGGTCATTATCATGTTGAAAAATGTATTTTGGCCCTAATTACATTTTTTCTGCACTCTACTTAACATTTTTCTTCAAGTCGTCTAAGAATCCCAATTTGTTCACAATGCCGTCAGTGATCTGCATAGTTCCAACCCCATTAGACGATATGCACCCTCAAAACATCACAGAATCTTCATGTTTCACAATAGGTAGATTATTGCAAGTTTCGTTGGATATATTTCCCCTTTTCCATTTCGTTCGGCATTCATTAGAACCATAAAGAGTTATTTTCGTTTTATCTTTATTTTCGTGCTCTCTTCAGAATTTAATACTGGCAATTCGATTTTTTCTACTTATGAATGGCCTGTATGGTACTCTTCTGTGATGATGGCGGTACTTCCACAGTACTCTGCGAATTGTCTGGTTTGATAGTTTATTTTGTGTAATTTGTTTCATCTTTTTTGCGGATGTTGGGAGCAAATCACAGTTGTGGTTTTCCTCACCTGATGAAGTATGAAACGTTTGTTTCTGTTATTGAGCTTCTTTATTTTGGCTTTGTAGGTTATTTGTTGAAATGATGTATATAAACGTATTTAACTCGTAGTTGACTGTAGAATGAGGTTTGTACTCTGCGTCCTATGTCTTTTAGAGACTAACCTCGTATACAAAGAGATACGATGATTTCCTTTACTTTACTCTGAATTTCTTTCCTCTTTCCCATCGTGAAACACACTAACCTGCAAAAGAAATACAGCTGATAAAGGTCACTACGAAGGACGTGTCGAAAAACATTAACAGCCTAGGAATAAGGGAATTTATTCAAATGAACAAACAAGGATGTTTCACGTGAATATAATGAACTTCACATTATAAGGTGATTTTTGCGATAATCTCTTCCATCTTTTTTATAAATAATGGACTTATTCCTATTGTTTTCTAAGCTATCATTACACATTTGTGGTAAATAATTCAATAAAATATTAAGAGCATTTCCTATGCAACAATCCATGAATTTCCTATAACATTTACTCTGTACAAACAAGACCGCTATGCACTATATATTGTGACATGTGCCCGGTCCCGGACGTTTTATATGACTACTAGGAATATAAAGTGACCGCCCCGCTTGCACGGAATAAAGAGAAAAAGTTAAATCGACTCTCGTTTGACCGACATAGTAAGTTTTCGACCAATCAGAAATAACTAGGAGCAGACCCCCCCCGTTAGGGAGGGGGAAGGAAACGAAATAGCAGTACGTGAACCGCCGTGATGGTGTAATTACAAAATTTGCAAGCATCTGTGAGCAAAAGATTTACACGCGACCAAATTTGGTTTATTCAAGTGGAGTTATATAAAGTGCTATAAATCATCAAGGAAAAGCTCCATAAATAGGAGGTAAAATACTTTTTTAATAAATTGTAACATTTAAGAACGTAGACGAAAATGTGTAGTTGAAAAGTCGACACGTTGCTGATCTGATGTTCTTTCTTTGTTCATTTCACCCCTTTCCCCTCCTTTTTGTTTTCTCTTTTGGTTTTTTGCTCTTATATATTCAGCAGAGATACATACTTCTTTAACCTGTTGATGCTCTCTCGCTACGATTACCGGCGGCTAGGTCCCAAAGAAACAGTAATTCAGGAAATATTGCAACGAAACCCCATAACTCGAGGCGGAGCAATGACACCCACCAATGACATCGTCATCAGCAGCATTGATAAACATGTGGGAAAGTGGCGGCTTGCGCCCACGCACGGACGATTGGCAAGAACTAGGCCCTTTAATCATAGTTTCTTTCCTAAAGCAGGGAACAGGTTAATTTCTATATGTAGGATTTTCCCTTTTCGTCAGTGGAAAATCGAGTGAGCAGGTGTATAGTACAATTATTATTGAATTTAGTCAAAACTTGTTGTGTATAAAATATTTCTGTGCAGGAGCGTTGGGTGAAACCACTAGAGAAGTATTTGAGCAAGGTTACGTCGCAGTCCGTTCTCCGCCTTCGAGCTCCGGTAGATCCAAGCAGCGTTGAATTGTCGAGGTCAAGCGCCGTGAAGCGGCAGCTCCTTAACATTATATTAGGAAATGTGTGTTTCTAGATAAACCTATTGCAAGTTTGAGAATTAGGAAAGGGAATGAATTTTGACTGAAACTAATCCATTAATCTTTTTTTCACCACGAACGTGGGATATCGCAATTTCATGAGTTATTATGTTAAGGCAATCAATTGTAAATAGGTTTATAAAAATATAGGAAGCTGCAGGAAAGAGATATAAAGAGCACTTGGCTTGCAATGTGTTGGCTTTTTTGAGTCTTAAATTGGATATTAGGGTAAATAGAATTTGAAAAATATAGTTGTCAAATTATAGGGGTACTACCAACCTTCTAAATTTCCAATTGGGCTGTTATATTTCGACTACTAGTACGAGTAACTGGAAAACTCATGAACATTTGTCTCAGAAATGACTACGCTCACGTACTGAAAGAAAATATTTGTATAGTGATGTAGTGTTTAGAAGATTATTTGGTTGGGTTGAAAAAAATTGAATGTGTTGGAGGTATTCTTATCCTATGGTATTGGTTCCAGGTGTGATAAATTTGCATATGATTTGTTTTATTAATCTATTCTTTTGTTTAAAACTATACATATATTTTGAATTCAATGATATCTTTGTATAAAGGGAACATAAGCAATATATGATTGGTATTAAACAAATGAATATTCCAAACACCTTAAATGTGTATTTGTATTTTTCATCCACTGCATCCTCGGCAAACTTACCACCAAAAGATAATTAAGAATCCTGATCTCCAAATCGACATCAATTGCTAGCTCCATCTGAGGCAAAGTGAACAAATAACTTCCAATATATTTACAGAATTGATTAAATTTAAATTCGATTTCAATATATCATTGAAATGATAGCCAATAAACAGAGTATAAATAAATAAAAATCGCAGTAGAATAAAATATTCTCAATCTTTAATTAAAAAATAAATATCAATTTCAACCTTTCTCGTGTTCTAAAGGGGTGATAACATAATTTTCTCTTATAGATGTTGAAGATTTCTATAGAATCTTACAAGTTTTATAGATTTATTTCTTCAGAAATTCTGCAAAACTGAGTGACGTATGGGGGAGAAGATCTGCGAACATTTCTTTGAGTTTCCTTTCGTATCATTTTAACTATAAATAGTTGAAAAATTAGTAAAAGTCAAAGATAAACAAATAAATAACAATTTCAAAAAAGCACGATATTAGCGACATTAGAAAACATTTTCGTTCCAGAGTGAAAGAAAACTTAATTACAACGATAAACGAACTGAAGAATTGTTTTTTCTGCATTGGTAACAAAATACTAACTCGCCCTTACCTCTACTCTTGCCACCATGACAAAAAGGAAGGAGTCATTGACCGTAAGCTGGAGTACATTATTTGTTACAAGCATACTAGGTATTTTTTTAAAAAGTATATACTATACAAAATGTAAACTAATTCATTATATATCACTGTTTTGTTCAAATAAACATTATTTTTCTTTTTGATGATCAGTATGATTTCTGTATAGAAACAGATGTGCAGCAAAAAATATTTTACTTCTAACTTAAATTAGTGTACGGACTTCAATTGTTTTATGTCATCTGGCAATACGTTGTAAAGAAACGTACATATTGTATGTGAATTTCTTGTAGCTGTTGATACTGACACTTGATGAACGGGATTTTAACGACGTGTTGTAAATATAAATATCAATATTCCTTGGAAATATGCTCCCACCGTTAAGTCAGTTTTGACAAATATTACAGTTTCGTAAATAAATAGGCAAGGCAATGGTAAGATTTCAAGCTCAATGAAAAATGACTTGCAGGGATCATGCGGATGGCATTTTTTCGTTATTGGAATTATTTTCTTTTTCCACCTAAAGGTCTGGGTACTACACTATGAGCTTCCCCAGAATATTATGCCATATCTCAGGCGGGAATACACATTTGCAAAATACACGCAACGAGCTTCATGAAGGCTGACAGAATTTGAAAGAATTCTGAATGCGTAACATAATTAACGCAATTTAGTGCTTATTTCTGTTATATGTACATGCCATTTGCGATTTGACTGTATTGAGAGACCTAGAAATTTTGTTATCTTAACATCACCTAATTGCATGTTGTTCATTCTCAATGGAGCATAAGATTGCTGATTTGGAATGCAAAAATTCATTAAAATTGTTTTTCCTTCGTTAACTATTAATTTCTTACAAAACCAATTTCAAAATTCTGAAATCATATTATTTGTTTCCTTTTTGTAAAGGACATTCGTGTCATCCGCAAACAGAACTGTTCTTCCGTTTTTAATAGACGGACATACCGTTTACGTATAACAGAAAGAGGATAGGACTTGAGATCGAACCTTGCAAGACCCCATATTCAATTGGTAAAGAATTGGAAAGATAAGTAAATGACTTTTCGTGCCAGAACGATATTTCTACTCTGTGATCGATGTTTAAGGTACGAGTGTTTTCCAATCTAGGGCGATACCACAAATTGCATAAGAAGGTAATTTTGATAACAAGATGTTGTGATCAATAACGTCAAAAGCTTTCGAATCATCTAAAAATATTCCAAAGGGTGCTTCATTTTGGTCCATTGATGAAGCAAAATCTTTAAGAAGAGAAAAAATGGCAGTTTCCGTAGATTTTGATTTTCTAAAATCATATTTAGAGTCTGAAAACGCTTCTTTTTTCCCGAGAAAGTTTCCATTCGCCTACAGAAAACCCGTTCTAGTATTTTTGAGAAACTTGACAAAAGAAAAATTGGTCGGTAATTTTGAATTTAATATATGTTTCCATTTTTTAAAAAATGGTTAAATTTTTGCTATTTTGAAAGTATCTGGAAATGTTACTGTGCATAAAGGAGCATTGAAAATTTAAGTTAATGGAAGCATGAAGGCAGGTACACAAATTTTCAATAAAGAATTCTAAAATTCATCTGAACCAGAAGAATATTTTTTAGTTTACTGACTATTGGTAAAATTTCGTTAGAACAAGTTTCGGAAATAAACATAGTGTCGGACACTTTTTGGGAAGGTAATGATGTTGAATTTTGCGGTTTTAGTCCCTTCATGAGTTCAGCCGCAATTCTAGAAAAGTGTTGGTGGAAGAGATTTGCCACTTTTTCCGGATTATTGGCTTCTCTTTCAATATCATTTAAAACAACGTTCTCTACTAAGTAACGAGATGATGTGGACGTATTTTTTACGATATTTCACATTGCTTTAGTTTTGTTACTAGCGTTCAAAATATCATGATTGTTTTTCATTATTTTTGTCTGAAATATTAATTTTCGTAAGATTCTTTTGTATTTTCGAAAGTAGACATGGAAACCGGGTGATACGTTATGATGTTTAAAAATAAAGTAAAGCGTACGTTTGATTTTACACGATGTTCTTATACCTTGTGTGATCCAAGTACTATTTTTCCGTGAAATATTTAATTTTCTCTTTCTGAGAGGAAAGCATGCGTTAAGCATGCGCATGTTTTGAGCCCACTCCCGCTATGAAGCGTAACATTGCGAGAAATTTCTTGTACTTGAACGATTGTATTCAGAGAATTCATTTTGCGTGGACTGGATGGTTTAGAAGAGAGAACATTGGCGATAGCTGTAATCAGTTTAAGAAAACATAAAAAATACCAATTGTGCTTACATAGTAATTCAACCATGCATTACGAACAGAGCGAGTGGATTTAACTTCATAATAAGTTTTGTTCACGAGTAAAAATAATACAATACAATTCACTCTAATAATACACCAGAAACTTTTTCTTAAATCGATACTACACAATAATTACTTCATGTTTTCATTACTTCAGTTTTAAATTATATCTTAAACAAATTGCTCTTACATTACCAGAAGACAAAATAAACTTAAAATACACAAAATTCTGCGGCAAGTTTCTAGTTTTTCATTGCGCTAGTAGAGGCATCCAATCTCATTGATTCATATTTCGTGATTGTAGAGAAATTAAATTTTGAATGGAACCTTCAGGGAGCTCTCAAGATTTCTAATTTTAAAAAAAACTTTCATGCATTCCCTATTTCTCCATTACATCCCACTCAATTAATACTAATCTATTCGCCATTTGTTCTTGGTACATTCATTCAGAGAAGACTTCACGATTTTTCCTCAGATGAATATGAATAATATTCCTGCTGGATAATTAGATGTACACTAATAACGTAGAGAAAAATAGTAGTCATAGTTTTAAAACATTCTTGATGTAGGTAATTAATTGTATATCTGAGGATTTTGAATGATATAAGAGACACGATCAATTTATAAAAGAGTAGGCAGTCGTCAGAATTCATCCCCCACAAAAGGTAGTGCTTATTCGAATATGTTAGATATATAATCCCTTGCAATAAACATTTGAGATAAAGAGTTTAAATCACCAGGAGCGACAAAACAAATGCATTTTTCTTAGAAACAAATGTGGCACATTGTGAAATTTGATTTAACAACTTGGACCAATCGGAAAACTGAAGACGGAATTTCCGTTCTCTCCTTGCACAAGCCGACGTAGGATTGTGAATATAAATACCATGTATGGCCTTGATGATTGCATTAATTAATCTTGAAGTAAAGGACAAAAGCATTGAATGAAGTTTTCAATATTGTTTTTTTTAAAAAAAGTCACATTCTTTGGAAAATGGACGCCAACAACCTAAGCATTAGCGCTATAAGCGGATGACGACAAAACCTACTAGTTGGTATGTGTAGGTTCTATTTACGTGTGAGTAGGTACGTGTTGGTGTGTGTGGGTACGAATTGGAATGTGTATGTATCATTGGAAGTTGGCGTATGTAGGTACGAGTAGGTGCGTGTAGGTTGGAGTTGGAGCGTTTAGGGGTGTATGTATGTACAAGTTGGAATGTACGCTCGATTTGGTGCGAGTTGGTACGTATAGGTACGAGTAGTACAAGTGTGTGTGTAAGTGCGATTAGGTGTGAACAGAGCTTCGCCGCGACGGCGGCAGTCGCAGGGGCGGATGCGGTTGGTGCGCACTCCGTCCGCCCGCCCTGACGCGCGGACGGCGAGGCAGGCCCGCCGGCCCCGCGGCGTCCAGCCCGCGCCCACGTATTACGTTGGTTTTTAAAAGCTCCTTCATATATTAACAGTCTTTTTGCTCGCGCGGCGGAGGGGCGCGCCGGGGCAGGGCGAGCGCCCGCCTGCGCGCGCGCGCGTGTGTGTTGGTGCGCGCAGCGCTTGCCTCCTAGTGTTAAACATATTTACCATTTCGGCTTTCTTTTGTCGGCGTCGAGAGAACCGCGCCGCCCCTAGTGGCGGGGCCGGTACTACCGATCCAATTAGATTGAGATGAGTTATGCGAGATCACTCGCCCCGCTCTGCATCATCGCCGCCTCCAAACGCGCCGACGCGACGGCGCGCGCCTGCTTTATTGTTATTCGCCGCCGCCGCCGCCTCCACCGCCGCCTCCGCCGCCCGCCGCGCCTCCACCGCCGCCTCGCCGCCGCCTCGCCGCCGCCTCCGCCGCCACTCCGCCGCCGTCGTCGCCTCCGCCGCCGCCCGCCCACCGCCGCACCGCCGCCACCGCCGCCACCGCCGCCACCGCCGCCACGCCGCCGCCGCCGCCGCCGCCGCGCGCTGCCGCTGCCGCTGCGCGCCAT